CATTTATTTATTAAAATAAATGCCACTTTGTGTGATGTTTTGTTTTTGATTTACATTTTTAGGTACAACTTAAAACCGAAAACCCCAAAAATGAAAATTTTCTGAAAATGCACTCACCCTCAGGCCATCCAAGATGTAGATGAGTTTGTTTCTTCATCAGAACACATTTGGATAAATTTAGCATTACATCGCTTGCTCACCAATGAATCCTCTGCAGTGAATGGGTGCCGTCAGAATGAGAGTCCAAACGGCTGATAAAAACATCACAATAATCCACACCACTCCAGTCCATCAATTAATGACTTGTAAATCGACAAGCTGCGTGTTCCAACATTAAGACGTTTTTAACTTCAAACCGTTGCTCCCATCTAAAATACGAGTTCTCTGTCCATAATATTGCTTTCTTTAATGAAAAACTCATCTCGCCTGAATCAGGAGAGAAATATGCACAGATCAAGCACCATTTACAAGCAAAACGAGTCCAAAACAGTTCTTAACAAATATGTCGGTGGATTTTGATGTGAGAGAACAACAGGGCATGGATGTATTAACTTGAGGAAGCATTGTTATGGATTATAGACTTGTATTTTGATCTGAAGCGATGGTTTAAATTGCCTTGATGAATATTTTTGATTGCAAACATGCAGCTTTTTGCTTCACAAGATGTTAATTGATGGACTGGAGTGGTGTGGATTACTTGTGGATTATTGTGATCTTAAGTGACATGACGTGACATGTGGCCAAGTATGGTGTCCCATACTCGGAATTAGTGCTCTGCATTTATCCCATCCTAAGTGCACACACACAGCAGTGAACACACACACCGTAAACACACACCCGGAGCAGTGGGCAGCCATTTTTGCTGCGGCGCCCGGGGAGCAGTTGGGGGTTCGGTGCCTTGCTCAAGGGCACCTCAGTCGTGGTATTGAAGGTGGGAGAACGCTGTACATTCACTCCCCCCACCTACAATCCCTGCCGGTACGAGACTCGAACCCGCAACCTTTGGGTTACGAGTCCGACTCTCTAACCATTAGGCCACGACTTCCCCTTCTTTTTGTTTGGACTCTCATTCTGACGGCACCCATTCAACTGCAAATAAAAAATCCATTGATGAGCAAGCGATGTAATGCTACATTTCTCCAAATCTGGTCCGATTAAGAAACAAACCCATCTACATCTTGGATGACCTGAGGCTGAATAAACTTTCAATAAATTTTCATTTTTGGGTGGACTTTTCCTTTAAAGTATTTTTGTATTTATGCATAAATGTACAGTATGTGTTTGCATTTCACATTATGTTCTTTTTTTCTCTTTTAGAAATCACAGTGTTTTTCATTTAACTCTGGGGAGGAGGAAGACAGAGAGGTAAGCCTAGCTCGACATTATAATGCAAGCAGTCAGCAATTCAGCCCTGAACAACAAGCTTTTTAATGCTTTGTCTAGCCATTTTAGATACATTACTTTCAGTATTCATAAATATTCATTAATATTTCATTGCCAAATATCTTCAATTGATTTCCAATAAATATAAGAAGCTTGTGTGCTCATATCAGGTGATATCTAATGAATCATATTTTATAGCACTATTGTAATGTGTGCTTGCTTTGACTTTATGTGCATTTTTTTACTTCTTTTAAATTTTTTGCTCGCCTTTTTAGTAGGATGGACATTTGCAAGAAGAGGTATATGGGTAGCTCGATGTTTTAGATGTAGTGTAGCATTAGCATAGAACCCAAAGCCTTCTCATTCCTGATTGGCTAATGCTAGATGAATCGGGTATTTTTATAGTATCAAATGATTGGAACATTACAAAAATTTTAAGAAATACACTTTAGGGCTTTGTAAGATGACACTGTGTTGAAATGGTTGGAGAATGTTTCATGGGAATCGATGTGGTTCAGAAACAAGTCAAAAATTATATCTTTTGCAGCAGCGTCGGCGCCACGGGGGGGCCTGAGGGGGCCCGGCCACCTCGGTCAC